TTTTTTGTTATGAAGTTCGAGTTCTTCATTCCACGAATTTTTATTTATGGAATGTTTTGGTACCGTCTGTCCTCTTTCATTCTTTGGTGTATGAGACGTTATAAAACACACCTTAAAAACAAGCACGATGATACGGTCCTGGAACCACTTCGTCTGAGTTTGTAATGGTTAGATCAACTATCCATGATGATTATATAATAATTAATGGTAATAAATCCCGACGGAATGGTTCCGTAACAGGACTGTAGCAAGTTTCAAAAAACAATTTGGCTTTTAACACATCCTTACTAAACTATTAGTAAGCTATGCAATACATTATTTTCTTTTAGTAATTTTTTATTTTTCTTTAAATCTTAATTTTATGAATCCACTCGATGTTTAAAAGAAAACTAAACCATACGGTTTTCAGTAAAAAATATTAATCATTTGACCGATTTTGACTGGTTCAATCGATCAAAGACTAGTTCTTAACGATTTTTTTAGCTGATCTTTTTAAGAAGATCAAACTAGACATACGTCCGGTTCTCAATTCTTTTTTTTTTTTTTGGTACAAAAGAAGAGGCTAGACGCCTAGTAAGTGACGGAGTAAATAGTGTGGGGGTAGGCCACGCCAATGTAAGTCATGTTGAAGCCATTGTCGTAGTCCTTCCGGCGGTTCATCCAAAAGCTGGAAACCTAATGGCCCTTTCGCGGCAAAGGAAGTCAAGTAATCGGCCGCGTAATTCGCCTCACGGTATATGTGTTTAACCTTAACTTCCCATGGTCGACTCAGGAGCTCTTTGATCCCCGAAACTAAGCCTATGTGGACTCCCGATACATCATCCAAGGCAGTCGCAAAGGTCACGACACCCACGTTATCCACTTGATCAGCCTCCACATGTCGATATCCCAAATCCCATGTAAGGGACAAACCTCGGAAAAAACCCCATTAGTCAGATGGTCCAATCCCGCCTAATTTTTAAATATAATAATTTTGCATATTACACCAATTTTATAATTACCATATGATTTAGTAGCATTTTTCTTACTATGTATCATACACCAAAAAGGTGGGGTCCTATGGACATATTCTTCTTTGAGATGTTATAAACTAAAAGACTATTGACGATCAGCGGATAGCAGATTGTATCAACGGATAGCGGATAACGGATTATATTAGCTGATTTGACCAGTAGATTGCATTAGCAGTTTTTAAATAAGTGTTTGGTAAATAATTGAAAGCTTATAGTTGTTTGACATTGCAAAATGACCAATAATGACATTTTATTATTTAGGGCGTATTCTTTTATTAATAATATATTATAACATTTGTTGTTCTTTGGTAATTTATAAATATATTATTTTTTAAAAAAAATTTACTAACACTTGATGAATAAGTTATGAATTTTATATTTTTCTAGATAAATTAATCACATGGATAACATATTATTATTTATTAGCACCATAAACTAATGTAGATTGTAAAATAAATAATACAAATTAAAAAGTTCCAAGTAAATGATTTTTGTGAATCATCTATCCCAAAAAGCTGCTCTAATGAGCTTTTTCTAAATTAGAGTTTCGGGTCCAAAAAGCTTATCAAATAAGCTAATTACCAAAACATGCTCAATAGCGGATTTGACGGGTCAAACCTCTCAATTAAGTCAAATCCGCTAATTTATCTTCAATCCGCTATCTTCCAAACGAGGCCTACGTCTTGGAAATTCCAACCGCAACACTAGGGCTGGACGCACTAATGTGTTGTTTGGTAGTCAGCGGTTAGTTGTTAGTTGGTAGTAATTGCTCCAGCAGATACTAATAGCGGTTTTTAAAAACTATGTTTGATAAAAGTAGCTTATTGATTTGGAAGCCACACTTTGGTCCTTCAGAGGCGACCATAGGGAGGACTTCCGTGTGGATTCATTTTCCTGAATGCCCGGTTCGGAAAAGGTTGGATGCGGCCATGCAATATATTTGGTATTATTAACTTGAACTTTTTTTTATATAAATATGCATTTGTTATTTGCGTTTTATTATTTTATATTAACAAAACTATTTTTGATATAATAAGTATTTTTGAATTATTTTTTAATATTTTTATAGTAAAAGCATCTAGTAAAATAAAAATATGATTTAAACTTAAAAATAAATGGTTGCAAAATACTAAAATAATGTTTGAAAAAATTAATGACAAATAATATTTTTCTTGTTATCGTCGAAGTAAAAATAATTTTGGCCGCACTTAATAAATGATTCTATAAAAGAATCCACTACGTTAAAAAATGGAGCATCCACGGTGAATGCTATTGTTTTGTGGGTTTCTCAATATAAAAAAAAAAATATGAGTTTTAATAGAAGGCCCGAAAGATGGGTAAATCATCAAATTCACCCTCATTTGTTAGTAAAAATGTAAAAAAAAATAAAAATAATAATAAAAAAAATATCCAATCCATCACCAGTTGTTGCAAAACGTTCCGAATTGTAGCGTTTTTATTTTTAGCTTTTTTACCCAATCAGCAAAAGCAAAAAGTCATTTAACCAAACACTAATTTTAACTGTTTTGACAAAATAAAAAAGCTAAACTCTCTCAAAAAGCCAAATTATTGTCAAAACGCTATTAAACAAATAAACTTGTATGAGAAAGTCCTAAAACATTTACAAATAAAATCCTCAATTGGATACACAAATGAGACAGGTTTATCCTCACAAACCATAGACCAAATTTATCACCAAGATTAAACCAGATAAATAATGCGAGATCGACCACAAAATTTAAAAAGAAGAGAACAAGGAGAATAGATAATTAGGCTTGCCACCAAGTAAGAATTTCTTAAGAGCTATTTAAAGAGAGCAATTGAGATTGGGCCAATAAATTGGACGCCCTAAAAAGTGAGTTATTGGACCGTTAATTAACATACTATTTGGGCCACAAAATTTAACATATAGTATAAACCAAATGGAGGTATTCACTAATTTGGATTTTTTTTTTTTTAGGAAAATTTTATCTTCACTTATTGGACTGGAAATAATTGGAAACATATCATGGACAAATATTTTATTTCATTTTTACCAAATAATTAATTGAAAAAATGCTAAGATTTCAATTACCAAACTGAAATGCTATGCCTTCTTGATTTGTGGAGGTCATATCCAACGGCTCTCTATCTCTCTCCTTGCATATATACACATGGTAAGTCAATATATCCTATTAATAAAAAATTCGTTCGCTCTCGTCTCTCTCGTCGCTCCAAAATTCGCCTCTTCTCCCTCGCCATTAATTTCTTCAATCACCGCCTCCCTCTCGGCTTCCAGCCTCTCCGGTCATCTTCCCCTCGCCGCCTGGCCCTCCCAGACGCCTCGACCCTACTCGCCTATGGTGCTGGTGGTCTTCGTGGTTGCCAATTCTAATTTGTTGGTTAAAGTTCGGAATTGTCGGCCTCTTCGGTGCTTAGGAGGTTTCAGGTGTCGCGGTGCTTTGGGTCAGGGTCGAGTGCGGCTCTGGCGATCCTCTTTCCCAGGTAGGGCGTCTTGGGCTTCTCAGGCGGGCCTCTCCCCGATCGCAGCCTCTGACGGCATGGTTGGAAGTCCTGATTTGCTTTTTGGCCGCCGTGGTGTGCGGGGGTCGGTCGGTCTGCACTGTTCCTTTTCGCCGGCGGAATGGTGATTGAAGGCAACAAGCTTTTGATTGAAGACTGGTTGGATTTTGGTTTCGCCGGGCTCGATTGAGGGTGAGTTTCCTCCTCTTACCGCTCTCGTCTCGGTTCTCTTTTGCTGCGACTGACGGTGCTCCGTGGTTAGGGGTTGGGTTTGTGTGTGGCTCAGTCATCTTGTGCCTAGAGTTGGTGGTGTAACACCCCGCTTATCAGAATAAATTTTTCGCAACTTATTTAAAAAATATTTATAAATTTTTCGAAACCTTTATAACTCGGGATGCTACTAACTTATCTACTTTACAAATCTGTTTACTTAAACTTTATCTAACAACTAAGTTAGACATAAATAAAACATATTTTAAACATTGAACAAATATAAAAAAACTTAACAGTTCATACAATCAACTTGATAAATCAACCTTTAAAATCACACTTAAAATCACACTTGTTCAGATCTTTAAGAAACGTAGCGGAAATCTTACAAGCGTGGTTTACAAACCGAAACCTTATTGAAAATTCTCAATAGAAACTTATT